AGGTGGGAGGTTCATTGGCCCAGGCCTCCCCAGGCCACCATCCCTACAAGTTAATGATCACAGGCCTTATCAGGGCCTTTTGCCATTTATAAATTTATAAAACAAAAGAGAAATAATAAAGCCTGTGGGTAATTAGTAACCAGGTTAGCTCTGCTGAGGAGAGGGGAGGCATTGGCTCAGACCCACTCAGTTCTCTGGGAGATGGGGAGCCAGCCAGTGGATGGGGGTACACAGCAGGGAGGCCTCTAATGGCGCCTGCTGGTGAGGTGGGGACCTGAGGCTATGCTGGAAAGGAGAGAAACCCCTGCCTTAAGGCTTCACCTCCCTCAGGTAAGAAAGATCTTGCTAAATGCTTGAGTCGCCAGGCAACCAGGGGAGCCCCCAGAACCCCAGTTTGCCCTCCCCCCTCCCCAGCGGTGCTAACTGGCCCTGGAGCTTGAAATCTGAATGCTTACCAGGGAAGTGAGAGTTCGGGGCTAAAGCTTCCCACCACCCTCTGCTTCTCCAGGCACTTGATTTGTAAAGTCTCCTGCTTTTTCCCCCTCTCGGGGCTCCCCTATGGCCACTTCCCCAGCACTGGGCTGAAAACCTTGGCTCATGGGGACACGGGACTCTGCAGAGGACCTGAGCTCATGGGCCCTGTCCCCCTTCCCGACAACTAGACTAAAGGCCGCAGCTCATGGCGCTCTGGACTCGGCGGGCTGGTGGGGAGCTGAGGGTGGGCTTCTCTGGGCTCCGTGGAGCTGGGGACAGGGAGGGGGTTCTTACTGCAGCAGGCTCTCCACCACGGCTTTCTGATGGGCCGCCTCCTCGGGGCTGAGGTTCTCCAGCTCTTTGAGGATGGGCGGCGTGAAGTCTTCCCCATCGTCGTCAGTCTCATCCTCAGAGCCTCTGGTCTCCCCCAGCCCATTGGGCAGCTCGGCCAGCTCCCCTCGACCGCTGCAGGACTCCCCCTTGTCCAGGGAGCCGTCTCCAGCCAGCAGGTAGGGCCCCGGCTCGCCCAGTGCCTGGATCAGCGCCTCTTTGCTCAGGCCCGACTCGAGCAGGGCCGCCAGGAGCTCGGTCTGCAGCTGGCTCAGTTTAGCCACCATGGCTCCACTACCACTGGGCCACGCGGCCTGGGGCCACCAAGCTGGCCGCCTCCCCTACCGCGTGGGCTGTCTCCTCACCAGTCGGCCAGCAGGCAGGCACAAACCAGGCTCCTTGCACCCACCGGTCCCCCCGAACCCCACTAGCCAAGTCCTGTGGGTACCCCCAACCCCCAACCCTGGCCCCAGCGGCCGGTGAATCAGGGCCCCTGCCCGCTCTGTTTACATTGGAGCTGGGGAAATTCTCCAAGGTTCATATTTATCCGTGTGCTTAGCGAAGGGACTGAACTTTGGACTTCAGCCCTGCAAAGTGCAGGCCTCATGGCAGCGCAGAGGGACAGCGAGCTGCAGCCTTCAGTGGGAGTGGGCAGAGCGGAGGGTGGGGGAGGCGGCGCCGGGGGCCTGGGGCAGCGGGGATGGAAGGTGCTGGGAGCCACAGAGGAGGCCTCAGGCGAGCAGCATCGGGTTCCACCCCCAAGGACCTTGTTGTAGGGGGGTCAGACTGAGGCAGGGGAGCCAAAACAGCAGGTTCCCCTTGGAAACAGAAGCAGCAGGGAGTTTTAGGCAGGTGGGCCAGCTCTCCTCAAGGGCAGGGCAAGGTCACATCCATATTGGACCTACCCCCGCAGGCCTGACACCCGGCCTCCCCAGAGAAAAAGCTGTTAAGTCTACTGCGTGCCAGGGACTGTGCCAGAGTCTGTAATATGCGTCCTTGCTTCATTGTGTCCCCCTATGAGCTGTGAGGAGATACAGGAATTATCCCCATTCTACAGAGGAGGAAACTGAGGCACAAGGCTCCGAGAGGATATCCAAAGTCACACAGCTAACAAGGGACAAGACTTTTGGAGTGGGACTATGGTGAAGCCAGTCAAGCACTTGACTCAGGCACATATTTTAAGGGGGGGGGGTGTGCCAAAAATGTCAGCAATCAAGAAAAATAATAGTTTTATACAATGTATTTAAAAATTGAAATGAATGCAAAACAGAAAAGCATTAAAAACATGAGTACACACAACAGCTTGCATGTGAGTGTTCACAGCAGCATTATTCCTAGTAGCCAAAAAGAGGAAAAGACATAAATATCCATCAATGTATAAGTGGATGAATGAGATGTGGTCCATCTGTGCCCTTGAAAAAGAAGTGCTGACACAGCACGGGTGGGCCACTGAAGACGTGATGCTAAGTGAAAGATGCCGGTTGCATATCGTGTGATTCCATTTACATGAAATGTCCAGCGCAGGCAAATCCATAGGGACAGAAAGTAGATGCGTGGTTGCCCAGGGCTGGGGTGAAGGGTGGGCAGGGGTGCAGGGAACTGGGAGTAGCTGCTTAATGGGTAAGGGGTTTCCTTGGGTATGATGGAAATGTTCTAGAATCAATTGGGTGATATTACACAACTCTGAATATACTAAAAACCACTGAATTGTGTACTTTTAAAAAATATATATCTTTATTGATTTCAGAGAGAGGAAAGGAGAGGGAGAGAGAGAGAGAGAAACATCAATGATGAGAGAGTCATGGATCAGCTGCCTCCTGCAGGCCCCCGACTGGGGATCGAGCCCACAACCCGGGCATGTGCCCTGACTGGGCATCGAACCGCCATCCCCTTTATCATAGGCCGATGCTCAGCCCCTGAGCCACGCCAGCCTGACAAATTGTGTACCTTAAAGGGGTGAATTTTATGACACATAAATCATTAAAATAGATTTTTAATTAATGCAAAAAATCTGCCATGAACAAAATCGCAAAATTTTAAGTCAAGACAGGCTTCCACTTTCACTCATTTCCCCCCAATCCTAGCCCTGAGCAAGAACTCATCCGCACACCCCCACCCACCCACCTGTTCCCTCTTCCAGTCAAAGGCCTGACCAAATTCCTGCGATGTGTTCCCTGGGGTGGCCCTAAGCCCCCAGAGCAAGGGGTGCACACAGGAGTAGGCAGGGTCTACTTATCTCGGCCCCCAGGCTGGGGCATTTCCAAGGGGTCTACTTATCTCAGGGATCTTCGGAACCTGATTCCTGCTTGACAGCCGAGGGGGGAGAAGGTGCCATTGGCCCCTGCAGCCGGGGGAGGTCAGAGAGGTCAGGGGGCTGGTGATAACAGAGCTCCTTCCCTCAAGTCAGCTCCAGTCTGCCTTCTCAGCCTGTCCAGTCATACCTGGTGCTCCAGTCCCCTCCCCCTGAATTTCATCTTCCGTTTTGCACTCACTCACCTAACATGCTGGGCAACGGTGCAGCCCAATACGGTAGCCACTGAGCCCTGGAAATGTGGCTAATGCCACTGGTTGAAATGATAGTAGTTTGGCTATATGAGGTGCAATTTTTAATTTTAAAAACATTTTAAAATTAAAAATTAGAAAAATTCATTTCACCTGCTTCTTTTTACTTTGGAAATGGGCTACTGAAAACTTTTAAATTATATATGTGGCTCACATTACACTTCTATTGGACAGCGTGGCTGTATAATTTCCTATGCACTGTGTTACTTATGGTCTGTCTTCTGCTAGAGCATAGGCCCCCGAAGGCAGGGCTTTTGTCTGTCTTGTTCACTGCTGTATTCCCAGCACCTAGAATAGTGCCTCATACATACAAGACAGATGCTCAATAAATATTTGTTGAATGACTAACAATGTCATTGCATAGACCACTGTTGCAGAGCTATGCGCTAAGCTTTAGTAAGACATTAAAATTCTCAGACTNGATGTCATTGCACACAGACCACCGTTGCAGAGCTATGCGCTAAGCTTTAGTAAGACATTAAAATTCTCAGACTGGCTCTAGGAAGTAGGAACTGTTATTATTTCCATTCTGCAGAGGGGGACACAGAGGCTCAGGGGAGTTAAATGGCTTGCTCAGAGTTCCCCTGAGTCTGACTTTGAGGGATGACACTGGCAGTTGCCCCCTGGGAAGGCGGGAACCCTTCCTTCCCTCCAAGGCCTTCTTTGCCCTCCAATGCAAGTAGCTTTGGGGCCAGGCAGCTCACTACCGGGACAGAATTCTCCAGTCCAGGCAGGATGCTGTGTGCTGTCCCTTTGTGGTTTCGTGGGACTCGGCTTGGTACCTCCTGCCAGGAGGCTGCTTGTTGCCCGCAGCGGCCCCTCAGTGACTTTAAACCTAGAGAGCGGGAAGGGTGGGGCCTGGATCCTTTGCACAACTTTTGGACTCATTAACTCGTGCAGCCAGGTGGCTGACTGGTGAGGTGACTCTGGGACTGAAGGTGGATTTTGTTGGGTGGGGGACTAGCTGTGGGTGGGGAAAGAGCCTCCAGGGGGTCTAAGGGGAGAGCTCCCCCCAGCCCCAATACACACACAGTAGGGCCCTGTGATGAATGAAAGGGAACCTCAGGAACCTGACCCTGCTTCTCAGCAAATGGTGAGATACAACAAACAGAAAGAGCTGGTTCCAACCCCCAGCCTGCCCTTCCCCCATCACGGGACGAATTTGAATTGACTGGAAGTGGGGAGTGGCAGTTTGCCTTTTTGAGAACCACACAGGACCTAGTTGGAAGCATTTGCATTTCACTGTCCCCACACACACCCCAGCTCCACACTGGGTGGCTTCAGGCAAGTGAGTTAGTCGTTTTTGACTCACCTATAACATAGAGGTATGGATCTCCTAGACTTGTTTAAGACAACTTTGTAAAGCTGAAAAGAGCATAATGCAGAGATCCCAAACCTTGGTTCAAGGTGACTTTCAGTGTCTCAGTAATTTTTCATGGCCCCTCCCACCACC